CGCAGGTTTCATGGTATTTGCTGATGAGCAGGGAAGATACAGGAATTGTGCGTCCTCTTTCTGGCTCCCAGGAAAGGGTTTTGTTATGTTTACAGACTCTTGCCATTGGCTGTTGTTACCTGGTTTTGTCTCAGTTTTCTTTGATTTCTCAAAATGTTCTTTAGTGATAGGATAAATGGTAATTTTAAAATATGGAAACAGGAAGCATACAAAAGAGGCTTTCATTTTTGAAAGTTAAATTACAGAGAAATAAAAGACGCTTTTTCAAGCATAAGCACAGATTGGAATAATTTTGCATTAATTAATATTATGAGGTTGTGTTTATAGTGGAAAAGTGAAATTGAAGGAAAAATATTATTCCTCCTGATGCCATTAGCGCTGTCTGCATTCTTCATTCTGTGTCTTCCAGGGGGAGGTTAGGAAGGCAGCAGTTGGCAACCTCCATGTGTGGCAATATAGAAGCTTAATTTCAGAAAGTTAATTTAACAAAGATATCGTGTGTTTAGAAACTTTTATGGCACTCATGTCTGAGAGAAGAAAGAAAAATTCCTAATGTGGTAGAAGTGCCTGCAGGGAGTATCTGAAGTGCAGGGCTGGGTTCAGCCAGATGACTCACTTCTGAGTACCAGAAGCATTGCCCTCCACAGTTTGCTCTGAAATACACTCTCAGTTATTTGTGTGTACCTTTGACAAAATTCTCTCCGTTACACAGGAGCTGTTGTGTTCAGGTTTTGGAACACGAAAACAAGCTCTTTATTGATGGTGAGGTCAGGACGCTTCTGGGAACGGTGGCTTGTTGGTTACCAGCTGCTCCCCAGCCAGGAGGAGGTCGTCTCTGTTTTAATGAGTTGTGCTTTGTTTCTTTTTCTTATTAAAAAAAAATAACTAACTGTTTGCTGTGATATTTCTTTATGAAGGAATTGTTGGACTCCAGAAAATTGTTCAGAAAATGTTTCAGGCTAGAAGTGTGTACGTGCTGGGTGCCTTCTAAATGGCATCCTCACACTGCTGCTTGAAGAGTCGGTAACCCTGTGAGCAGTACTCTCCCTTTCCCATCCAAGTGGGATAAGAAGTTGGCTCTTAAGGTGTTTTGGGCCTTACAATGGTTTCGGTTAGGTTTAATTTTTTATTTTGGCAGATTTTCTGTTAGATCAGGGAGCCTAAATGGAAGTTGGAAATAAAAACCTCATGCATAAATAGCAGTGAAACAAGGAACTGTGCTAATCTCTGCTTTCGGTTACAGCAGCATAAACTTGAGGAGGTTTGCCTGTAACGTCTATGTACAAGTGTAGGTAAAACTTGGCTCAGCAGTCAACCCCTTAATCACTGGATTTTCTAGGCTGCAGCTAATTCTGCTCACCATATGCTATTGCTTTTTTTAGTGCAAAACATTGGTTTGGGAAGGATATTGAGATACCAGTGTTCCCAGTCTGAAATCTGAAGCCAGCGTTGGACAGTTTGTGTTTCATTCAGTTTGTATTTGTCACTAGAGAAATACCCAAATATTGGTAAAGATCCCAAACCCTCAAATTTGAATAGTAATTATGCATGTTTAAAGTCAGTTCATACTATGCCATGATGAAAAACTACTGAAGCGGTAGGGCAGGTGTCATTGTTAATAAACTTAAAAGCTGAGCCCACTGATTTGAGGATGAGTTTGCTCACAGTTTCAGACCAACAAAATCTTACTTCAGAAAGTTTTGTTTGTGCTCTGTGATGCATCAGAAGCTACTGATAGGAAGTATAACATCAAATAAACTTTCATACTGGATTCGCTAATTTTATGGAGTCATGGTTGTTTCAGGCAGGACCAAGAGAAATATGGCTTGTGTACTTATGTATAGGTATAAATAAAATATGTATTATTTTACTGAAAAGTACATAAAAGAGGAAATATGAACCTCTGCAAGTGCCCTGAGAGGTCCTATCTGGTTTTGGCTTTGCTAGCATTTCTCATCTAGGCTTTTAAAGGCAAGTCAGCAGCTGGTGTAAAGGCTAAAGATGAAATATATCCATAGAAAGAGATGGATTGAAACAAGGAATTAGTTAATAAGCATCTTGGTAAGCTTTGGAGGGATTTAAAAGTGGGTTGATAGATGACGTCCTTTTTGTTCTATTTAAGAAAGGTTGATAATCTGACAACATCAGAAGTTACTACTCATACAAAGCAGATAGAAATACTACTTTTTGAGGGGTTTTGGGGGCTAGCAGGGCTTTTTGTGATTGTGTTTGTTTTGTTTTGTGCTTTTTATGTAGATTTACAAATAAAAGCTAGTAAAATTGTCCTTGCTGGGAAATGACTGGCTGTCACACGCAGCGTTTTACCCGCTCATCTTGGCTTGGGCTGCGTGTTAGCACTCCACTCAGATTTGCTTAACAACCTGACAGTAGCAGCTCACACTGTAGGACTGACTTGGCTGTTGGAATGTTGACAACATTACTGTAAAACGTTTATAAAAATTTAAAATTGGTTCAAGATAAGCCAATCTAAGACTTGTTAAGAAACAACTCTGCTTAAAAAAAATTAAACTCTTCTTTCCTGTTGAAGGCCAGGGAAGTTCTCTGAGGTTACCTGGTGGCTGCACAGCTACCCACTAAAGAGAAAAAGCCCCCAGAGGAGATGGTCCATCAGGGAATGAGAAAGCAATGATCCTTTTTCTCTACGTTTTTCTACTGCTGATCGGCACAAAATGTTGTTATTTGGAGATTTTCTAGTAGCTCTCCAGCCTGCGTAATGCCACCATTCACAAGCTTCTAACGGGAGAAAGCACAAGTGTGCCAGTGCAGGCAGAGCCGCTCAGCAGCCCGGTTGCTCAGGACGGCCTTGTCCTGGGCCATGCTGGGAGCGGGGGAACAGCAGAAGCCTGTTTCAAGGGGGAGGAGTGCTCTCGTGATGGGGACATGTTATGACCCCTTTGACCACAAGAACAACTGAAGTAGAGCAATCAGACTTTGGTGTTGGATAGCATTTGGCAAAAGGTTGTGGAAGCAATTAATGTGTATTTAGCAACGGGAAGGTTGTAAATAGCAGCATCCTAGTTGTGGGCTCAAGGAGAATACTGCTGAGATTATAGCAAAAAGCTCAGCCCCTCAAAACTTGCATTTTCTTAGTACGTGCTGGACTTGAACTGAGGCAAAAAACCACCCAAAACCATTAAATGTATATTTTAAAAGATAAGCCAAAGTAAATTCCTTTCACAAAAACACAAGTAGAAATTACAATTTTCTTATCAGCAATTATTCAGCTTCTTACACTTGTGTAATATTTCATATGTATGATGTAACTGTATGATGTAACAGTTTCCTTTGATGTTGTGGTTTTTAAAATATGTGTGTGTGTGTGTGTGTGTGTGTGTATATATGTGTGTATTTGACAACCAGGTGATCAGGCCGAATTGTAATGTATATATCTCAATCTCCTCGCGATGAAAGTCACAACTCTTACTTTGCAGTATGGCACTCTGCGGCAATAGTTTTTCTTAGTGAAACTTCCTTTACCCAAGCCAGTAGTGATGGTATTTCTTCTGATGGAACAAATTTAAATTTGATGGTATCGTGATTATCACAAGCTCCCTGTTATTTAAAGGGTTTATCAGATATAAGCTGCTTGTTATTTTTAGTGGGTGATTCTTCACATACTTCTTTCACAGCTGGAACTCTCTCTGGTATTTTGTTTTACCAGTTTCTTATTATTTCCTCTCACCATTACGATTATGTAAAAATGGATGCTGTTGTCTTTTAAATTTGCCTTCTCTTCTTACCTGGTTCTTTCGTGTCTGTCCACACTGGGAATTGTAATAAGTGAATCATGTTTAATTTCTCTCAAATACAGTTTAAGCAAAGTGAATTTGTCAGTTTATTCAGCCGGTGTAGACTGGGATAAATTGTATTTCAGTCTCACCTAACAATTTACCTGATGTTTAAGCCTTGTGTTCATTTTATATGTTGTGGTTTTAGCATAGTTAGATCTCATTACAGTCTTCTAAGGAGTGCTTTTAGCAATATGTGAGACAAGTTTAAACATAGTTCTCAAACTTGGTTTTAAAGCCAAAGTAAATGAGGTCTTGTAGTGCCACATTCCAGTGATTCTGACATCAGAGGAATATCTGCAGTAATAAATTTTTATATTGAAGTGGCTGAATTTCTATATGCCTGCAAGAGACACGACAGGTCTGGCATGGAGAAGCATTAAGCCAACCATTCAAGACACCAAGAAATTTTTTCAAGAAATTTTTGTCCTTCTCTGGAAGAGAAAAAAAGAAATAGCAAGTTACTTACATTTTGGCAAAAATCAAATGTTGTTTTAAAAAAGCCTCAGCAAAACTAGTTATTTAATTTTGTTTAGTTTTTTGTTATTTTAGATTTCTTGATACTCTCTGCAGTCTGTGGAGAAGTCTCTTGTCTTTTTGTTAATTAAATACTGAGAATTATGCAAAAGATTATATGAGTGCTGAAATGAAACACTGAAAGCCCAAAGTATTTTGAAATATTTACACAAATTAATTTCTCTCCAGTGTATGATGTAGATATTTGTATACAACACTTCCATTATTCTTCACATTTGCAGGATTATTAGCCAACTTTTATGAGACTTTCATTCTGGGAAAACTAATTTTTAAAAAACTTGTAAAGGTTACAGACCTTCCTGATCCATACCAGGAAACTGGCTGAAGGTGCAGGTAGCAGAGCAGGATGCATCGACTTGGCATTGAATGGCTGAGCTGAGCTTTGCCAGCTAGAAAGAAGATTCACATTCTGCTCTAGGGGCCTCTCTCTGCAGCAATGAGGAACGGCTGGAAAAGCTGCCTATGAGTGGGTGCTCAGCTGGTTGAGCTGATCAGCTCTTTTGCCATCCCTAGATTTTAAGAGGAAAAAGGATTTAATGCTACATCTTACAATCCAGAGTACAATTTTTTTTCCTCGTAATAACAATTACATGTTTTATAGTGCTCATTCTTGCGAATTTACAATTAAAGAGACTTCATCATTTTTTCTTTCAGATTCTTCTCATTCTTTTCATCGAGATGAGACCATAGTTATTGCCCTTGCATCTGTGTCTGTACTGGCTGTTTTGATTGCTGCTCTGTTCTTTGGATACAGGATGCTTGCAGGTAGGGTTTGACATCCTATCTTTTTAAATTGTTCTTTTGACTGTTTCTCAAAGTTATACTTCTGTCTTCTGTTCTTCCTAGTCCCTACTATATGTTTGTATGTAATCCTCCTCTTTCTCCTCTCTGACACATTATGGTGATATCCCTTTCATAACATTCCAGAGAGATTTATGGTTTCTCCAAGCTGGTATTTTGGGATCTATTTTTCTTCAACAAATCCTCTGCTCAATATAGCTTATGTGAGGTTGTGAACATGCTTTACGGCTATTGCCAGTGACACTCAATTATCAAAACAGTTGTGTAGCAGATAGCCTTAAGTTTGTAGCTACCAGCAGCTTCACTATTGATTTTACTGACTCCAAGAAGATTTTACAGATTCCTTTTTGTTATGTCCTTGCCTCCTGTATGTATTTCTGCCAAGTCCCAGGTAAGTTGTATTGTTTTTACTTGCAGCATGACAAAAAAAGGAATTGGTCTGTTTCCCTCTTTATCCCCTTCCACAGGAGACCGTAAACAAGGTTTGCACAGTATGAACATGATGGAGGCAGCAGCATCAGAGCCCTCACTGGATCTGGATAATCTAAAGTTGTTGGAGGTAAATGTTCAACTCAGTTTCTAAATCTTCATTTTTATTCGGTGGAACACTTGTTGTCAAGAAAGGGTGAGAAGAAGGATCCTAGGAACTACAGGCCTGTCAGTCTGCCCTCTGTGCTGGGAAAGATTACGGAGCAGATCCATCTTGAGTGCCATCACATGGCACATACAGGACAACCAGGTGATCAGGCCCAGCCAGCATGGGTTTATGAAAGGCAGGTCCTCCATGACTAACCTGATCTCCTTCTATGACCTGGTGACTCGCTTAGTGCATGACGGAAAGGCTGTGGATGTTTTCTACTTAGACCTTAGTGAAGCCTTTGACACTGTTTCCCACAGTATTCTCCTGGAGAAACTGGCTGCTCATGGCTTGGACAGGTGTACTCTTCACTGGGTAAAGACACTGGCTGGCTGGATGGGCCCAAAGGGTGGTGGTGAACAGAGTTAATCATTCAGCCGGTCACAAGTGGTGTTCTCCAGGGCTCAAAAATGGGGCCAGTTCTGTTTTAAAATCTTTATCGATGATATGGACGAGGACATCAACTGCACTCTCAGTCAGTTTGCAGATAACACCAAGTTGGGCAGTGTTGGGCAGGAGTGTTGTTCTGCTCAAGGATAGGAACGCTCTACAGAAGGACCTGGACAGGCTGGATTGATGGGCTGAGGCCAATTGTATGAGGCTCAACAAGGCCAAGTGCCACGTCCTGTGCTTGGGTCACAACAACCCCATGTAATGCTACAGGCTTGGGGAAGAGTGGCTGGAAAGCTGCTTGATGGAAAAAGACCTGGGTGTGTTGGTCAAAAGTTGCCTGAACATGAGCCAGCAGTGTGCCCAGGTGGCCAAGATGGCCAACAGCATCCTGGCCTGTATCAGAAATTGTGTGGCCAGCAGGGGTAGGGAAGTGATCCTTCTCCTGTACTCAGCACTGGTGAGGCTGCACCTTGAATACTGCATTCAGTTTTGGGCTCCTCACTACAAGAAAGATGTTTGAGGCACTGGAGCATGTCTGAAGAGCAATGAAGCAGGTGAAGGGTCTCGAGCACAAGTCTTATGAGGAGTGCCTGAGAGAACTGGGGTTGTTTATTCTGGAGAAGAGGAGGCTGAGAGGAGACCTTACCGCTTTCTACAACTACCTGAAAGGAGGTTGTAGTGAGGTGGGAGTTGGTCTCTTTTCCCAGATAACAAGCAATAATATGAGAAGAAATGGCCTCAAGTTGTGCCTAGGGAAGGTTAGATTTGATATTAGGAAAAATTTCTTTACTGAAAGAGTGATCAAGCATTGGAATGGGCTGCCCAGTGATGTGGAGTAACCATCCCTGAAGGTGTTCAAAAAATGTGTAGATGGGCTGCTTAGGGTACATGGTTTAGTGGTGGGGTTGGCAGTGCTAGGTTTATGGTTGAACTTGATCATCTTTAAGATTTTTTCCAACCTAAACAATTCTATGATTCTGTATCACCTCCCAGGTACAGTTACATAAATGAATGTATCAATGCTTCTGTAGTGTTTTCTTCTAAATCACAGTTTAAAGAAGAAACAAAAAGGGGAAAAAAAAGGAAAAAGAAATAAAGAAATAAAGATTACCACAGTTACATTTTGCCTGGTTTTGTTAGTAATGTGTTAGCTAGAACATTGTCTACCTTGAGAAGAAAATACTAAACACTGGAAGGTAATGGGGGAGTTTGAAATGTGCTGTATTTCAGCATTGCATTAAAAGATCCATCTCTTTGCTTGGCACTGATTGCTTTTGAGTGCAGGATTCTGCCGTAGTCATTTGAAATGCTTTACTAACGCTATTGGAATACAGAATTTACTGCAGATAGGGCAGTATATTTCAGTAGTGGTGCATTTATGTATCGTCATTCTTCACAGTGGGGTACTCTCTATCTCCATGGCAACTAGAGGCCAACCAGAACTTTCTACTCAGCATGGTATTAGATGTATCATCAGAAAACAGCAAAATGTTACGCTTTCAATTGGTATGCTGGATGGAACTTAGGGAAATTTTAAAAGCTGTTAGCCAGAAATAAATTGGTAAAATGATAGAGATTCAGAGAGTGGTACTATTCTTTTTGTCCATTAGAAATCACACCTGGAGATGCAGGCTGTAAACATGTAGTCCCCACTGCAGTGTGTTCTGGGCACATGGTGACAGCAGACTAACCAGCAAAGAAGCTTGGACACCTTCTGACAACAAAAAAGTACTTGAGGCAGAGTTTACAAGAGTAGAAGAAAGTGCGTTGTAGAAGTGCGCAAAGCCCCAGATGAAATTACTCATACTGATACGCAGTCTTGGAAAAAGCAGGGACTTTGTTGGTGGGGAGATCTGTTACGAGGTCTTCTGTCCTCTTCTTTAAATCCTAAGGAGCTGACTCCTCGCCCTCAGTCACAGGGTGTTGCAGAACAAGTTGTCTTAACCTATGCTTGCCTTTTCACATCTCTGGGTAGAATATATTCTGAGTTTGTACCTCAAAGTGCCTCGCTGCTGCTTTGCAATCCATTGACAGGGAAGGACTGAGAAATGGAAAGTCTGTTTATTAAAGCACACTTTATTGTTGAAATATTTCCTGTTAGACAATTTTATCATCTTTAGAAGCGTTACTTTTGTAATCTCTTCTCCTTTTCATTCCTTGTCCATTTGTTAGTATTGAAAAAGTAAAAAGATACTGGTCCATTAAATCCTTAGAGTTTTGTGTCAAGGTCTTCCTGAAAATTATTTGAATTAAATAGATGCTTAAATTCTTATGTAGCTAGAACTTTTTGAGCTTTAGAAACTAGGACTCTTCCTGAAGATGGTCCTGTGTTTTGGTTTAGAGCAGAGATCACATCTTTCTGGAGTTGGCATGGAGATGGGTAAGACCATTCCATGAAGACTGTCTAACATAGTGGAGGCTAGAGTAAAGATTCCCAGGTAGTAAGGAAGTAATTATTCCTTTCTGTTAAAACCTCTTTTGGGATCTGTTTTGCACTACAAATGCATATATTATTATTACTAACCTGAAAGGTACAGCTTATAAAGCTATCTTAAACCTAAAATGTTTAGCTTAATATCTATGATCTCTGGAGTTGATTAAAATTGAACGCATAAAAGCTATAAATGTTTGGTAGGTAAAAGCTTAATAAGAGGATTAGCAGCACAAAACACATGGATTTTATTGATTCTGTATATTCAGAAATATGCTGAATACTTTACTTATGATTTATTTACTGAGTATTCAGACTATAGATCAATTTAGTAAGATTAGTAAGATCTAAGTTGGCCTATGCTGAGGTTTCCAGCTCCAAAGGAGTTGACAGCATTCTAATTCTAATTTTCAATACAAGATATTCACTCTTTTTAAATTTTTTTTGTAGTCACTATAAAAGTTGGCATACAATCTTTGTAAAGTGAAAACTTAGATTTTATCTTCATTTATTATTTAGTGAACTAATTCTTTACCTTTTTTTGCAGTTGATTGGCCGGGGACGATACGGAGCAGTGTATAAAGGCTCCCTTGATGAACGTCCAGTTGCTGTGAAAGTATTTTCTTTTGCAAATCGTCAGAACTTTGACAACGAGAGGAACATTTACAGGATTCCACTGATGGAACATGACAACATTGCCCGCTTCATTGTGGGGGATGAAAGATTCACTGCAGATGGCCGTATGGAATATTTGTTGGTGATGGAATATTACCCCAATGTAAGTGCTTCAAAGAAATCAATGGGATTGGTTTGGATTCCTAAGAATAGCCACATAAAAGAGGATGTACTTTAGTATTTGCCAGTATTTTTCATTGCTTGTTCTTGCACACTAATGTAAAAATAATCCATATAAATTACAATTTTAATGAACCTTAGTGTGGTTTAGTGTAATAGCCTTTAAGATTTACCAGTTAGTCCTAGCCTTACAAATTCTTAACTGTAGTATTTGCTCTTAGTTATGGTGCAGGTTTTTTAGTCAACTGTGCAATATTCAGGGACAGAATTTGAAGAGTTGTTTTTACTTAAAAATGACATCATAAATGTAAAACTTCTTAGTATTGAGTTATTGTATCTCTGTTGTGGTAGTTATGACCTCACTCAGTAGCTGTAAATGGTGGGGTTTTTTACAATGAAACAGAATAGATCCAATATTGTTGTCAAGCTCATTTGTGGTACTATAAATAATGTTGCCTTTTTATCCTGTTATCTTCTTTAAAGTTTTCTATGGCATACCATATTTATTTTGCTGTACCACGTATTGATGATGTAGGACAAGTCTTAAGGCGGCAGCCTTACTTTCCAGAGCCATGTAATCTCCTTAGCTAGCTGAATGCTTGCATCCCTCAGATTCATTGGTTTGAGTTCCTAATGCTGTGTATGTGTACACATGCACAGTAACAAAAATGTTTCAAAAATACACAACATAAATGTGAATTGCTTTCATGAAAAATCATAAAATGTCATGTATATGGGGGTTATAGATACGAAAATGCAAAAAATTACATTTCACAATTTATCCTGAGGGGTTTTATTGCTTGTGTATGGGAAAGAACTTTCATTGTTCAGTTAAATATTTTTTAATGAGCTTTTTGGTTTCAAATAAGCAAACTCATATTGTATTTCCTCCAATGTGTCAAGGTGATGGCTGAAGCCTGATTTGTTTTGGGGACAGTAGGACAAAAGCTGCTTATTTAAGTAGCAAAAAGAAACAGAACAGTAATAAATAGCAGTAGTGATGGTCTGGCTTATACGGTTTTACACTTTACATATATGCTTGTGTTGAAAGTTAAATGCATACATGTATATAAATATCTAAATATATATACAAATCTAAGGCAACATAGCACTTCACAAGTATATAAAGCATATCTTAACTGAAACTTTTGAGAACACACTTGATCATGTCAGCTTATAAGAGACAGGGATCTAAGAAGAGATTGCAGAGACTGGAAATGACCATAGAAAAAGCTCAGTCATGCTCATAGCAGATGGACAGTGGCAAAGCACATCAGCTCTGGCCTGCTCGGGCATGGTAAGCTTATTTTCAACTAATTGAGTTGAGTGAAATCAAGTGAGTGTTCTGTTCCTGGGAGAACACAACATAACTGTTGTAGCAGGTGATCTGGTTTTGCTGTTTTCTTGAATGAAAGGATTTTTAGCTGAAATGTGATTTGATTGAAAATTGTCTTGTTGCTTATGTAAACAGAATCAGTAAATGATCTGATTAAATGCGCAGATGAGGCTTACGACATCATGTTATCAGATCCTTTCTCAATATGGTATTCAGAACAGCATTAAGAAGTGTCAAGTGTTTAGATTAGTCTAAAATCAATCCACTGGCGGTTTGGAAGTCATTGGAAAAAGTGCACAGCAGGTGTAATTAATGCACAGTGTGATCTTTAATTCAGTGAGCAGATGTTCTGCTCTACATGGAGCTAACAGCAGAGAAGGAACCCTGCTGTGGCAGCCCTACTAAAAGGGAATTGCACCGCTCAAACTGGAGCCGTAAATCTTGTTTCAATAAGGAGTAACCCATACAAGATGTGCAGGTGAAATACTCCTCATTCAAAACATCATTCTTCTTTGAAATACTTTCTTCCTTGGAGTCAGGAACACACAAACCAGAACATGTTCATACAGAAAAGGTAAAAGATAGATAGGTTTGACCCAAATTGTGTTATCCCAACACACCTTCAGACCAAAGAAAGTAGGTGAGCAAGTAATAAAAGGAAACGTGTGTTTATCAATCAGTGTGCAGTTCTGATCGTACTCTGAGGTGTGGCAGGTGAGTAAGCAGTGAGTAAGTTGTGAAGGCTGGCGTTAAGAAATACGTAACAGCCACAGAATTGTCTCCTCAGTACTCAGACAGCCATGTCTTTTCAGAACAATAGAGAAAGTGTTGCAAAACACACATCAAATCTTATGATTGTTGTAACAAAAACATCAATTTTATCAGAAGTTATAATCAGAACAGATGTCCCCAATTTAACATGTTACTGTGGCTCTGACAAGAATATTCTTAATTACAAATACATGTGTCTCTAAATCTTGGCTAAAATTTTTCCTGGTTGTCATTTATTTTGAACTTTACTAAAAGCAGAAGATCACAGCCCTCAACTAGCTTAAAAAATACTGTGTGGCTAGCAAGTTCTGTAGCAGAAAGCACTAGAAGTCAGTTTGAGATCTTTATACAGTGATTCCCAGTCCCACCATGACAACAGTCCTGTGGCCTCCGTTAGAATGGGCTGGAATCTCAACCCGCTAAGTCAAGAAAATCCATTACTGCACCCACGCTGCTGCCAGTCAAAGGCTAATAAGTGTGTTTGTGTTTCTGAAAAAGCTTTAAAAGATAAGAAAAAAGTAAAACTCTTTAACTTGTTTCTAGGTGGATTCTCAGGGTTTGTTTTCTTTTCTTACCAAAATATATTTGAATTTCATCTAACAGTATTTTAACCAATTTTTAAAAATGCTCCTGTAAACCCGTGTGAGTGACATTTGGTCTGTGTTTTCACCGAGGAGGTTATCTATTTATGGGTTCCTTGTTCTGCACAGGCGAAGTCTGAAAAGCTGTAAGGTTTTTGTAATTCTAGGCAGGAGTGTCCAGGACTTGCTTTTAGTTTTAGCATTGGATTAAAAAAATGTCTACTGCTTCGGTCATTTAAAATTACCATCTGTACGTGCCTCCATCTGAGCTCTGCATGCATTGCATACCTCAGTGTCGACTCCAAATGGACTCAAATGGCACATCCCAGATTTTTTTGGACTCTGTTACATAACTAGTTTTGCAATAAGTGGTTCTAGTTATGGCTATGGTAAAATGTTACACAGTAGTGCATCTTTAGGATTACTGATTTAAATAGGCAAAACCAGGGGAGTTTGCAGTTACAAATGAACATTATATTGCAATATGTATGCAGAGACAGCTGGATGAGTTGTTCTCCATGCATAGGGCTTTAGTTTGTTTAAACTGAGTATATTGCGCTGGGGCCTGTGCATATAAGAACTGCTCAAAGGTGTCACAGTTTGCAGGATCTGACTCTTGTTTCACGTAGCAGTCTCAGTTTGTAGAAGTTTCAGTGTCGTAATTGACACTCTTCCTTCTGACTTGCTTGGCAGTTTCACAACAAATGACTAAAAAAGCCCCTATTTTTCACATTTAACTTCTCTTTCAAGAAAGAAGGAACACAGCATTCTATTTTCCTGTTTCTTTGGTGCATGTGGACTTGTTCCTATATGGAATTGCCTTTGGGCTTTGGGGTTTTTTATACATAAATAAAATATAGCAGAGGAGATGCCAGTGAGAGATGCTCAGTATTCTTCTGTTAGTGCCAATGGTTTAAAGTCCACTATTTGGCATCCCAGGCTGTTATGTCTGCAGTTAACTTTCTTCTTCTGTTGTTCAACAAGATTTTTTTCAGGAGAACAAATCAAGTGCATGCTTTGCTTCTGTTTTATAATTAATATCATTATTCCTAAAGGCAATTCCTGTTATCGTGATGAATTTTCTGTTCCACTTCTTTAGATAAACCAAATGGCAGCACTAGAAATTACTGAAACTTTGGTCCAACCATGTGTTTTAGAACAACTAGGTAAACACAGAAGCAGTTGCACGATTACACCTTTCACCATTACACCAATGGATACACCTGACTGTCCTAAAGATTTTGAGTTATTCAACTGGACAGTTATATTAATCTAGTATTTACTTTATTTTTTTTTAGGGTTCTTTGTGCAAATATTTGAGTCTCCACACAAGTGACTGGGTGAGCTCCTGTCGTTTGGCACACTCTGTAACTAGGGGCTTGGCGTACCTGCACACGGAGCTACCTCGAGGAGGTAAGGCCAGGAAGGGATGCCAAGATGTTCAAGATACTCTTACCTCTATCAGGTAGTAGATTCCTGCCTTTCTCTTTTCTCCGTGACAGTATGGTGAGTAGGAAATGATGACTGCAAACAGAGATTACTCAGAACTTCTGATCCGTTCTCTCCTTCTGAACAATCCCATGCTGTGGGCACTGTCTGTGATGCTTGTATGAAAACATGGAGTAAGAGCCAGCAGAGCCCCAGAGAAAGGCAAGAGGAGGTGGCAGAGCAGTGCAGTGCTGCTGTGCCATGGCAACAGATTACTGAGGACCTGCAGCACTGGATGTCTGCCTGGCAGAGAGCAAACAGATGGGCTGTTCTGTTTGTTTTTGCCGTTCAGACACAAATCACCAAAGCAATTTTTAGTTTGCGTGTGAACTGTAAACACAAAGAGAAATAATTAAATCTTCTAACTCCACTGTAGTTTTATTTATCATAGCTCTTGATTTTTTTTGTCCTAGTATTCGCTGTGTACAAATGATACTGTGTTTCATTAAAGCATCGGATGTGACAACGTATTGATTTATATCTTTGTATCTCTACTTGCATGCTTCAGCCAGCATTCCAGCAGCTCAAATATCATGATTATAAAGCAGATATTCTGGGATCTGTGATGTACCAGGCTGCAGAATATGGCCTGGTGTTGAAGCGTTAGCTTGTTGGCAGTAAATAAAAGGATGGTATAATTAATTCTACATTAAGTTGCTAATGTTTGGATTAAAATTCCAAATTATATATCTCAAATGTTAAGTGTCAACGCTAGCAAAGAATGACAACTGAAGGTGCTGTTAAGAGTGCACAGCTGAAAATACCTAAATCAATATTCCCACGTATCATTGAAACTGCACCTATCATCTTAACGTCATCATTTCAAAATGTGCAGACAGGTGTGTCCATTAGCACCCAGAAGATGTGTAAACCTTCCATCATAAAGAAGACAGAGCCATAGGCTGCTCTATGAATGCTAGGAAGGAACTCATGGAGTAGAATAAATTGCACAGTAAAACTGGTTCTGTAGTGCTGGCTGTTTTACTAACAAAAGAAATTGCTTATAAACCAGGAACAACTGAGATTGTTTGGAAAAAAAATAGATCCTTTGCAAGATGAACATGTTCAAACTCTGTGGAATAATACTGTCTATGTATCTTCTGAATAGGTGCCAATCATAACGTAAATAGTTGGTGCCTTATTTGACACAGGACCGTGGATATGAGAGAGAGCATTTGGAATGGCAGTCAGGGCTGTGGCAGCCGGCCTGTGCTTAAGTACACAATGTCTCCCCTGCCAAAATCATGCTGAAATATCCCTTGGAAAGAAGCTTATTGGCAAACACTGAAACTGTATATAGCAGTAACCTAATATACTGTATATATACAGTGCAACCCTGAATGCCAGTCAGTTTTTTAGAGCTAGCATCCTATGGAGCTCATTATAAAGAAGCAAAAATGTTAGCTTTCTAAAAGATAAGTTGATTTTCTGTTTATAATGGCTGAGCAGACATAATGAGGTTCTCTCATTTTGCCAAACAGTAGAGCTGCTCAAATAATAACAAGCACTCCCATATGTCCAAATAGATCATTACAAACCTGCAATATCCCATCGTGACTTGAACAGCCGCAATGTACTGGTAAAGAATGATGGAACATGTGTCATCAGCGATTTTGGACTCTCCATGAAGTTAACTGGAAACAGACTGGTACGCCCAGGTGAGGAGGATAATGCAGCCATTAGTGAGGTAAGTACGAATGAAGATAAACTAGTGTATAAAGGAAGAGAGATTCATATGGAAATAACACTGAGAAATAGTTGTTTCTGTTGTTACAACGTGAATGCTAAGATGATATGATCCCTGTAGGGGGGAATTGCTGCAATATGGGTGAGAAGTGGCTGAAACCTTGATAGGAAGAAACTGGTTTTATTCTCAGAATACTTGCAAACAAGCCTAGCATTTTGAAAGGTGATAGATTGGCAGCCCTGGAGACTGAGGTTTTCCATGTGAGATATGAGAAGATGCAAGGTAGGTTTGATTGCCATGTTTGCGATGACGTGGTATAGGTCCCTTCAGTCTTGTACTGCAAGTATTAACTGAAGATCAAACACTCTTTGGTGGTTTTGGTGCCAGTTTTTCCAGGATGGTGACGTACAGCATTCTGCGTCTTGCAACCATTTCTCTATGTGTCACCTGCAATTCTCTGGACTTTAAATGGATACTTCTAGGAGAGTAAGTGCATGTGAAAAGACATGGACCAGCTGAGAAAGAATAGGACAAAATAACAAAGAATGCTTGAAAGGGTACCTTATGGGAAAAGATGAAAGAACAAGGGTTGTTTAGGGAAGTAGAGACAGGTCTTCAAATACATAAATAGCTGTTACAAAGAGAAAGGAATAAACTGTTTGCATTCAGTTTGCTTTCTCATCTGTAGAAGGCAGCCAAGGTCTGGAATAGACTGCTGAGGAAGGCTATGTAGAATTTGCATCGCATTCAGTGTGGATAGGACAAAAGGTAGTGGGATTACATTGTAGGAGGGAAAGAAGTTATAAAGAAGCCTTTCTCATCTGTAGAAGGCAGCCAAGGTCTGAAGTGCATGTGAAAAGACATGGACCAGCTGAGAAAGAATAGGACAAAATAACAAAGAATGCTTGAAAGGGTACCTTATGGGAAAAGATGAAAGAACAAGGGTTGTTTAGGGAAGTAGAGACAGGTCTTCAAATACATAAATAGCTGTTACAAAGAGAAAGGAATAAACTGTTTGCATTCAGTTTGCTTTCTCATCTGTAGAAGGCAGCCAAGGTCTGGAATAGACTGCTGAGGAAGGCTATGTAGAATTTGCATCATTTTGTGAATTTAAGGAACAGATGGGAAAACATCTGCTAGGAGTGGGCTACAGTGGATTCTGGGCAAAAAGAAGAAACTGATTTCTTAAGCTTTTTTTTATGATGCTGTGATTCAGAGAATGTTTTTGTTGTTGTTGTTGTTTTCTTTGTATAAATACACTGACACCTGAATATAGGCTACTGAAATACAGTGAGACTATATTAAAAAAAGAATGGAAGTCCGTAATAGTTCAGTTTGCGTAGTCTTTGTGCTTTTACAAAAAACTGTTACATTTCATTGAAAAAACGTGTTTCACAGTGCTAATCACCTTCCCTTGGAAAGCAAGGGCTATATTAATGATACCCAGTGCACGGGTCTTCTTTAGAGATTACCCCTTACTGAACAAAGAAACGGGGAAACCACTGTTTAAAATACAGGGATATGGAATAGTCCTGATGAGCGATTGCCCTAACATAACGTATTTCTTAGTGGAAATTAATAGATGTACCTTCCAAGGCTGTTAATAACCTTGGACCATGGAAGATGTAGGAGACAGCCTTCCTGACAGTCCAAGAATAAAGAGAACCAGTTCCTTGTTCAGCAGCATCCTTCTCCTATTATGATACACACCTTGGTGTTTAACAGAGTCATTTCAGGACACAGAAACATTTTTGCTGTGTCGCATTGCATATGAGAACACTGAGTAAGGGACAAAATTATTTTGTTTTGGTACGTACAAAAAGTGACAGAGTAGGGGAAGGGTTTTATTATGACTAGGCACCTGGTAAGAATCTAGAAGGTGAGGATATTGATTAGAACTGTATTTCCTTAAATGTAGACAATATCAAAATAAGGTATTAAAAAAACTAATCTCCATAATAAATTGAGTTTGGAAATCGCTTCCTGATTTGAAGCTTTGGTTTTATGTTTTTCCAGGTCGGAACAATCCGTTATATGGCCCCAGAAGTGCTTGAAGGAGCAGTGAACTTGAGGGACTGTGAATCTGCTTTGAAACAAGTAGATATGTATGCGCTAGGCCTTATCTACTGGGAGATATTTATGAGATGTACAGACCTCTTCCCAGGTAACCTAAAGAACTAGAAAAAAACAAGCAGAAAGTGCAACCAAAGCTATTCCCTAGCCATAGCCTTTTAAAGTGAAGAAGGGAAATTATTTTCTCAGTTGTTTTTGCCATTAAGTCAGTGCCATCTAGCGTTCAAGATGGTTGTTGTCAATACAGTGTATTTGAGTGTGAAGCGTGGTTCATACTGAAAGACTTTAAATTACCTTTTAAGCAGTTTGCAGACCTCATGGTAAGTGCCATTCGAGCGTTATTATTATTTATTGTCCAGAGTTTAGAAACATTGAGAGCTGGGCTGATGACTAAGGCAGTACTTTCGGTTCTAAGAACTGATAAAAGTGCCTGAAGTGTCATTCAGACTTTCCTCATGAAGGAATGGATGAGAAAGTGCTGTGATTTAGTGTAGCCTGTAGTCAGTTGTATTTTATCTATGCTAGTGACATTGAAAATTCAGTGAAATCATCCATACCTGTACCATAAAACAAGAGGAAGTAGACTTTTAAAATTTAATACGTGAGATGGTGTCACAACCACCATCTTCTTCCCAAGATACAGCATATAGAGTCAGTCTGACATGCAGCATTCTCTCTGTAGTCTAACAGCTGCACTTCGATATGCAGAGACTTGTAATCTTGCTGGGCTTCCTCCCAAATGAAGTACATGAATGTATTCAGTCAGTGACACTTCACAGAAATTAGGTGTCATCCTCAGACTTTTAAGACATTCTGAATGTGCCACTCAACCAGCAATGCCTGAAGATGCTATCCTTTGAGAGGCTGCTGTACAGCACTTCATTTGTTTCTTAATTCAGTTTTTCTTCTGAAATTAGACTTTGGGAGAAAATTGAGAACATTTCAATAGACAGCAACTTTGATACTACCTTTCATCACCTGAAAGCCCGTGCTCTGCCTTTTAATCTGTGATTTTTGTTTTCCTTTCTTTTGCTAACAGGGGAATCTGTGCCAGAGTACCAGATGGCTTTCCAGACAGAAGTCGGAAACCATCCCACTTTTGAAGATATGCAAGTCTTGGTTTCTAGAGAGAAGCAAAGACCAAAATTCCCAGAAGCATGGAAGGAGAACAGCCTGGTGAGACAGAATATTTTCAAAGAAACAATCACTTAACTGGCTATAGGCTGTATTCACTTCTTAAAATAAATTTTTTGATACGTTCTTTTAAAAAAAATTTTGTTAGTGTTTGAGGATGGGGAGCTGCTTCTGTGTGGACTTCTTAAATACTGAATTTAGTTTTTAAAAAGCCATTGACATGAAAGCTTGATTTCTTAAGGAAAAATATCGTGATTATTATCACATGCTGAAGTACGGTACACAGAAGATAACGTTATATTAATTGTTACAGTATCTGTAGTATTATGCATGAAGTGCCCACACGTTCCCTGTATGCTGGATGAGAAACATAAAGGCATTTTCTGCCTTTTGGCATCTTTTATAAACTAATAACACCTTAAAATAGTTAGCAAAAATGTAAATATACTCTTCCAAAATGAAAATCTATAAACTTTGTAATAAACCTTTTCTGAAGCTGTATAGCCCTCAGAATTTGCAGAGGCTACACCTTCCAGCAATCATTTCATTATAACTACGTTAGAAATTTTATATGGCTTCATTTGATCTACAGTTTTTATTTTCAAGATGATAAACATAGTAATGTTTGTTGATTTGAATTAGTATAGCTATGGCTTAGAGCCTTCCTTGCTGCTGCAGGCCAAGAAGTTAGGGCAAGTCAGCTGAACTCTGGTAAGAGTCTGTGTACTTGCTTTCATCTGCAGCAAAGATGAGGTGATGTGAATCCCCTTAGCTTGGGGGGAGAGGTGTTTGTCTTTTATTACAAGCAAACTGAAGTGCAGTTACTGGGTTCTATCTGATACATGGTAATTTGTTTAAGCCAAAATATCTTGATTGCGAGTATGAAATTTGACTTCTATTTAAAAAGATACTTGTAGTTATTTCCTTACTGAAATTATGCCCTTCAATCTTCAGAGACTTTGCTAGTTGATAAGTGTGTAGCTACTGTGCAGATAATGGGGAGCCTAAGGCCCCATCTATGCTGGTACTTGTAAATATGTATGAAACCATTTTCAGAGAGGAGCACAGCCTCCAGTATTAACACTGGTGTAAAACATGTTGTAACTGAGTTGAGAGCTTCATAGAGAAGCTGTTCTTTCATTATGCAGTTTTGGACAGTCTTGGGTGGGTGGGGTTGGAATCCACGCCCGAATTATATAGGAAATCAAGCAGCAACTGTTTTAACTATTGCCCTGTTGGCAAATGCAATGTTGGAAGAACCAAGCTTGACAGCTGTTTTTGAAGACAGTTATAACTAAAACGGTTCAAGAAGGTTTGTTTTGTTTTGCAGACTACCGTTTTAAATGTTAATTATGCTCTAACAAGCTGATAGACTCCAGCATTATTAGACACCGAGCTAGTAATGATCCTCATATTTAAACTGCCTAACACATCCTTTGTGGTGTCACTAAATAATGATGATGATGATGATAAGTCCAGCTCTAAGGATGGATCTACACCATTGCTTTAAGAGAAAACAATAAATAATCTGTAGTTCTCTCATGATTATTAAACAAGCTACACCCTGTGCCAGTCTAGGATAACATCTGAATGAGCACTCTAGGGGTGATAGAGTTCTAGAGAACTGAGCTCCAGATAACCTCACCCTCGACCCAGGTCCTAATCTCCTGTATCTAAAGAATGGGATAAAAGACTTTCATCTGTTATTTGAAGCTATGCTGACATGTTGGGTTATAACACTTCCATGCAAATTAATCTATTAGAGAAATGTATTTGCCCTTTTCAATTGAGAAATACCTAAAAAATAAAACATTGCATTTTTGTTTGTCACTTAATTAAGGCACTCAAAAGATGTGGAGTCCTAAATTTATTACTACCTATACAGTCTAAATCTGCCTCTTGAACATGTGTGTCATGATACAGACCTTGATTAGCAGTATTGTTTTTCACAATATAAATCAACAATCCGAGCAGATGATGTGCATAAAATAATTCAAGGGCTATAAACGGAGTTGGGATGTTAGCAGAATTCTTGTCTCATTTGCCAAAGCCAAAGCAGGGTCTAAGCTTGACTTCAAAGGTCAGGACTGAAGGATGTTAATAGAATAATAGAATAATGCAGATTTCTTGTCCCTTCTGTCTTTTTTATGAGTGCTAGAACTTCTAAGTAGTGCACTTCAGTATAGATCTCTCTGAACCTGAAACTAATATAAAACACAGTATTGTGGTAAATGTGAAGCTCTAGAACTTCAATTTTGTTAACTATACAGTCATCACTGTGCTTCTTTCATGATCCTTAAAACATCAAAAGGAAAGTATCTTCTAGAAGAGAGCCAAATTAAACACTGGTTAAACTTAGTGTTGGTGAAACCTGTAGAGTCTTACGAAGGAGCAAGACAGGAGATTAGAGTATCTGCTGAATTAGAGAGATGTCTAAATTGTGACTAAATCAAGTCCCAACAGCCGAATGCATGCTTCTATTTTGGGAGAGAAAGCGGATCCCATACACTAGCCTGTTGTTGTCCCTGAGGGTGCTTTGAGCCTCATGTCCCTCAGGGAAGAGGAGTGCAGTTGCTTAGTCCTTCTTCGATCTACTGTGGGAAAGGAAATAAAAGATTTGCTTGTGTGGGTGCTCATCCCCACCTGTGCAGCCAGAGCTGCATCACTAAGCAGCAGTGATATGGCAGATGCAAGTGATGCCAGGAGCCCGCTCTGTGGGCGAGGAGTTCTTGGCTCGCACACAGAGCTCATCCTGGCTTTCACTGACAGAAGTGAACAAAGCAGTTCTGGCACAGCAAGGCCCACTGCATGCCGTAGTGTCCAGCTAGGACTGTGCGCAGTCATCGGTGTGGGAGAGGTTAAAGCTGGGCTGTAGATGTGAGATGTTCTGGCAAACCATGACGTATCCATGGGCCATAGACTGGCAGCAGGGCCAATAAATATCTGCCTGATTTTTGTTCTCCAGATGCAGTGGAAGCAGAAGGGTTCAGTGCTCGTAATTTCAGTCATCTCCTCTCTAGGTCTCTGACCATATGGCAGCATGTTTTGGAGGTCTTGAGCTCTAATTCTGACTGTACTATTCACTCCACAGTGTGATCCCAGGAAAGCGTGTCTGTTTCTGTCTCCATCTATAAAACAAGGGTGGCAATAATCTCTTCCCATAGCACAGACAAATTCACTGATATTTGAGGCATTTGGATGTTACAGCAGTGACAGAGGAAGAAAAGCATGATGAAGTGAGGAAGGCTGTGTTATTTGCATGCAGTGCAGGGAAGCAAGGTGCAGGGACCAGTAGCTGAATTGTGAAGATAGCAGTGACAGCACTTGCAGAATATCATCAATTAGTACATAGCTTCGATAAGGCAGGGAGAGTGAGCTGAGCATGCATCCGTCAGAGAGGGCTAGCTGAATGTGGTGGTGTGGACAATTAGCTTTTTCTAAGTAACTGTCTTCCTCGTTGATGTGTGTGTGAGGTATGATAATGTTAGTTCTGCATATTGTTGTTTTTAGGGTAAACTAACCTTGAATGAAATTGCATATCTTCCGTTTCTCTTTCTTACCAGCTTGTGACTATTTTCATGCACACAGAATGCTGTCAGAAAACAGTAAATTAGAAGCATAATATAAAGGGAAAATAATTCAAGATAAAGTGGTTTCGTTTGTTTGTCTCCTGGCAGGCTGTGAGGTCACTTAAAGAAACAATTGAAGACTGTTGGGATCAAGATGCTGAAGCTCGACTGACAGCACAGTGTGCTGAGGAGAGGATGGCAGAACTTATGATGATTTGGGAGAGAAATAAATCAGTTAGTCCAACGGTCAACCCTATGTCAACTGCCATGCAAAACGAGCGGTACGAGGAGAAAACATTTGGTTGTAATAAGCTGCAAATGCCCAATGCAATGCTCAGCTCACTCCAGGAAGGAAGCCAGAGCATGCTGTTAGCTTAACATTTCTGCACCTGTGAAGTGGGTGTATGTTACATGAGCTAGTCTGCATATGGATATTGTATGACATGATCCTGATTGCTTGTATTCTTAAGATCTCCTGTGTGTCCCTAAAATTCAGGCACCTTTTATGTAAACAACTGTACTTCTCACAGAGGGGCCTTTTAAACTGAACCTAGGAAGACTGTCCAGACAGGCTTGCAAAGATAGGAAGTGATGATCAATTGTCTTTAGGACTCTCCTAAATGATGCATAAAACTTCTATTTAAAATGTTCATCTAAAAATGGTGAATTTGCATGCAATATGAGTTCAGGAAATCACCAAGTCTCACACCTGTACCTTTTCAGTTAAAGAGCCACAGGGCCGTTGTTTAAGTCATTATTATTCTGACTTCAGTGAGACACACTGCACATTCTCTGCTTATATCTGATCCAGAGGGAGTGTGAATTTGCAGAACTGATATTAGTGCTTAATTGTATACACTAAAGATCTAGATTTGAGAGAAGAATAATGTTGCTGTATGTAGCAGTGTTTATTGTAATGAAAAAAATATGTATGTAAATCATAGAATACCCAAATTGTTAAAATAATAGATTTTTCATGGTTTAGGACCTTGTGACTTTTTCCTAGCATCAGTTTCTCCATCTTGTGTGTTGAGTTCTTGTTGCCCTCCTTCAGCATCGCTTCTCTGCAACTAGAGAGCAGTACCTTAGCAGTGAACTAGACAAACAGCATATTGGACAAATAGAAGAAAATTACTGTTATCTGACTTAGTTGTATAAATAACATCCATGACAAAACTGCTGTCCTAGTAAAACTGATTTTCTGTTACTCAGGATTTTTTGAGGAAGTTACTGAAGGATCTCAGTTTGTTCTGTGTCTGTCCTTAGTTTATGCATGAAAAGAAACAGACATTCAGCACTCTTAAATGAGCAGCTGTATTATATGAGATGATTTTTACGTATACGATCTTAATATCACTTGTTTTTTCTTAAAGGAATCTGTCGCATCATAGGCGTGTATCAAAGATAAGGCCATATCCAGATTACTCTTCCTACATTGAAGATTCAATCCACCACACTGACAGCATAGTGAAGAACATTTCTTCTGAACATTCAATGTCCACCACACCATTGACTTCAGGGGAAAAGAACAGAAACTCCATTAACTATGAGCGACAACAAGCACAGGCTCGCATCCCTAGTCCTGAGACAAGTGTCACCAGTTTGTCCACCAATACTACCACCACCAATACAACTGGCCTCACTCCTAGCACTGGCATGACCACCATATCTGAAATGCCTTATTCAGATGAAACAAACTTACATCCCACAAATGTCATGCAGCCAAGTGGGCCCACCCCTGTTTGCCTGCAGCTAACAGAGGAGGACTTAGAGACAAATAAATTGGATCCAAAAGAAGTGGATAAGAACCTGAAAGAAAGCTCTGATGAGAATCTGATGGAACATTCACTTAAGCAGTTTAGTGGGCCAGATCCACTCAGCAGCACTAGTTCCAGCTTGCTTTATCCGCTGATAAAACTTGCAGTAGAGGTGACAGGACAACAGGACTTCACACAAGCTGGCAATGGTCAAGCGTGTTTGATTCCGGATGTCCCATCTGCTCAGGTCTATCCTCTACCCAAGCAACAGAACCTTCCGAAGAGGCCTACTAGCCTACCCCTAAACACCAAAAATTCAACAAAGGAGCCACGGTTAAAATTTGGTGGCAAGCACAAATCAAACTTGAAGCAAGTGGAAACAGGTGTTGCCAAGATGAACACTATCAATGCTGCAGAGCCTCATGTTGTGACAGTTACCATGAATGGAGTGGCTGGCAGAAGCCACAGCATAAACTCTCATGCTGGCACAACCCAATATGCCAATGGCACAGTGCCATCTGGCCAGACATCCAGTTCAGTAGCGCAGAGGGCCCAGGAAATGCTTCAGAACCAGTTCAGTGGAGAGGACAGTCGGCTGAATATTAATTCAAGCCCCGATGAGCATGAACCCTTGTTGAGGCGGGAGCAGCAGGTTGGCCATGATGAAGGTGTTCTGGACCGCCTAGTAGACAGGAGAGAGCGACAGGATAGTGGCCGAACAAATGCCAATAACAACAACAGTAATCCGTGTCCAGTGCAAGATACAGCTACAGGCAGTGTCCAGAACGTCGTGAGGAATCCTGGGCAGACCCAGACTAGAAGAGCACAGAGGCCTAATTCACTGGATCTATCGGCCACAAATAGTTTGGATAGCAGTAGTATGCAGTGTAAGTGCCTGCAGGACTTGAACAGTTTCCCTCACACTTTTTTTTACTTAATAACTACATCTATCTGCTTGAATAGAAAATAGTTCTGTCTGTCCTGTCTCTCCTCAAAGCATACTTACAAATCCCATATAAATTTAATTTCTATCGGCACAATTTCAATCTTCTTGGTAAAGTCACGTCTCCACCAACTCCAGCACGTTAGGTCTATCTTCCTTCCACATACATGGAATAAATCTCTCCCTTTATAACCTGTCTACTCTGACTCTAGGAAGGGAGCAATTTCTAACTTACGTTATTCCTATTTCTTTCTTCAGGGTCACATTATACCTTCTTTTCTTTATATTTCCTCATTTTCTTAAGAGTAGCTGGCTCTAATATGCATTGATTAAAATAATTTATTGTAATAGAACTATTTATATGCTTCATTACTTTTAAAGCAGCTGATTTTACTGTAATAGCCCAGCCTAGACGGAAGGTCAGGTATTCTCTACTTTTCTATCTGAGCTCCAACAGTTATAGCAGACCTTCATCGGTTTACCATGTACATATTAAAAATTAATCAAAGTAGTTAGAGAAGGAATCAATTTTAATAGACTCATTCAGAAAAATGCCTTAAGTTTTACAGCCAATGATCTAAGAGGTTACAATGGGGCTCTCCTTTTTACAGTAAGAATTTAATAATGTAGTTACGGTCAAATTAGGTACATCCTCTGAGTTTGACTTTAGCCCTGTTGGAAAGTTCTCCTAATGTGCATTTTTAAGAGAATTTGCTTCCAGAATACACTGTAGTCTTTGAAAGGTGCTTGCAAACCTCTGACTATGTTTAGGCAGACACTGTGATAATCATGAAATAACCTGGGGTGCCAGGCTTGTTTGGAAAGAAAAGGTTTAGAAACAAACTAGAACTGATCTTTCAAGAAATGTTGTTGAATATTCAGCAGTGGAATGTTTAAACCTTCCTTTTAAGTAGGAAACCTTAATTTTTGTCTCAACATGTTGACTTGAGTTGAAATCTTACTGAGGTGAAGAAAAAAGATTATCACTGTAACTTTCTTAAATCGAAGGTTAACTTAAAAGGGCTTGATAGTTATATAAAGTGACAGTTTTTCTCACAATCAGATTTCTACTGCTGAGATTTTATTATGATCAAAGTTGGTTTTGCCAGTTTTGCAACCCAGTATCCCAAATCCTGACTTAGGATCCTAACAGGGAATGGACCATTTTGTCTTCAGGTGAAAGGCTTTGCCAGGTGAAGTGGGATTAGAGAACCTATGATTTAATTATGCTATTAACAGTTGAGCCTTTATCATCCTGTAGTAGCGACATGTTTTTGTACCTCCCATTACAGATAGTAATGATTGCAAAAGCTCCTCAAATGTCAAATGCCGATTCTGCATTCAAGGAAGCACATATTACTTCACTGAAGTAATTTCTGACAGAGAGCAGAATCTGACCCCTTGTTTTAGTGGCAGCTACTGTAGTTGCTATACCTGTCATGCCTCTGCCACACAGTTGCTTTTGTGTGATAAGATTTTGTTCTTTTGTTCTGTTTTGCAGAAGTAACAACCCTGGACTCTCAAATCTAATCTTATCTTCCTTGTAATGCTATTTTGTGTTCTGTTTTTTGTTTTGTTTTGTTTCTTCTTCAGTAGGTGATTGCTCACAAGATGGCAAATCGGGCTCAGGAGAAAAGATCAAGAAACGTGTGAAAACTCCGTACTCACTTAAGAGGTGGCGTCCTTCAACGTGGGTCATCTCCACTGAGCCACTGCACTGCGAGGTCAACAACAATGGCAGTGACCGGGCAGTCCACTCCAAATCCAGCACTGCCGTTTACCTTGCGGAAGGAGGCACTGCCACCACAATGGTATCTAAGGACGCAGGAGTGAACTGCCTGTGAAATACTTTAAAAGCCAACAAATGACCTTTTTTTTGCATTATTTGAAACAAACATGCAGAAGACATTTTAAAAAACTGCTTTCTCCTCCTGTCAGCACCCCTTTCAAGGACTCGCTTTAAATAGATTTCAGCTATGCAGAAAATTTTTAGCTTATGCTTCCATATTTTTTTATTTTGTTTTATTTTTTGAACGTTTTTGCACTTTTATTTAGTATCGCTAAAGTTAAGTCTGTCTGTTTTGACCACGGAATATATATATGTGTATCAAAATGTGGTCTCAAAATATTTTTTTAAAAAAAGTAACAAAAAAAAGTATTGCTGATAATCAGTGTGGACCAGTTTCTTAAGGTCACTAAGATCATAAGCAGACTATAAGACAGGTTTGACTGCAGTGGTGTCTTGTAACCATGTTTTGATTTCTGTGCACAAGCTAGTTTGTATATTTCTGTGTTACAAAAAACCCCTTATTTTTCTTGTGTCATGTTGAAATGTGCAATAGTCTATAGTTCACAGTATGCTTTACTGAAAAGTGTGTTTCTAAAACTGCCACATGTTTCTCTTTTTGTATTTGTTAATTTTTCCCTGACAGTTGAGCAGTCATCCGGTCATGACAGTGAACTTTGCACACCGTAGCCAGCTTAAAGCAGCTGCCTATAACACATTGTGCTCTGAGGAGACAGTGCATGAATTTTCCCCAACTTGAAAGGGCTTTCAAAAAGGAACAAAAAAAAAAATCTGAGCTTAGTACCTTTCCTTTGATCCTTCCAAATCAAAATGTGTTTCCTTTATAGCAGTAGGTGCCAGCCTGTGAAGTGCTGAATAACAAAACATTGAACAAATGTAAGGAAACAATGTCAGCCGTTTATTCCATTTTATTTTGTGTGCAGTTTCACCCCCTGTATTTATGTAAAACCTTATCTAGAACACTAATGTACATTGAAAAATACATTTTATTCAGAAATCTTAACTGTCGAAAGTGCTAGTGAAGATAGGTTGTGAACGTATTTTGTTTACACAGAAGAAAAATCATGAATCTTACTTGGCACAAACCAGTTTTGTGACGAGTCAATCTTTCCTGATTTACCTCCTTTACCTTACCTTACCTTATTCTGGGGTAAAATCAGCCTGATGACTTACACAGGTAGGTGCATCCTAATTGACTGTTGTTGCTGAGTTGAGTTGAAACTCATCCTCACTTCAGAGTTTTTAGAGCCCCTCATTCATCTTGTTATAATTTATTGCATGCTTTTAAAACTCATGGTTATGAGTGTTTGGGGGGGGAGGGCTGGGGTTTTTTTCCCTCTGCTTAGACCCTTCTTTCAGTTTGTATGCACATCGATTTTAGGTGTCAGTGAACATGAATGTAGTATCTGTTGAGATAAACAGTTTTTTCACCATCTCAAGTAAACATTACCTCTTTTTTAGATTGTTTTTACTGTCTACTGAAAGAAAATGAATTTCCTTATTGGTCAGAACCTCCTTCCACCTGAGAAATATTCTTTCTGATTGAAAACACTTCAGTAAAAACTATTTAGATAAAAAAGATAGAACACATGTCAGTCTTTGGTACTGAGTAAAGTTTTATCACTTTATCTGAAAACTGGTGATGTTCAAAGAAAGAAAATCCATTCAGTCATCCTGCCAGACTCCTGTGGCAGGATACTGGCAGCAAACGATTGCTTCCCCCAGCCTGTCTCCTTTCAGCTGACTCAAACAGATGCTCTGTGCTTTCAAGCTCATTTGTTTCCTTGCCGTTATATTATTCCCCCCCCCCAAGGTGAACTTTGCCAACCCTGTTCTTCTATATCTGATGATACAACTAGCATAATATAAGCCTTGCTACATCTGATTCTTGCTCTTTCCCAAACTCTCTTGTTCATGCTTGATTGCTACGGTTTTTCTCTTGTAATGCTTCTTAATGTTTCATAGATTCTCCTAGATATCTCCAAGAGAACTCTATAAATCCAGACTTCGATTAAGTGTAGTTGTAGAAATACAAGCCATGAGACATGTTTTGGGCTCCCTATGTTCTTTAAGCACCAGTTCAAATAATATCTTTCATCTCTCAGGTGTAATTCTGTTATCTGCCTGTATAAATACACAGTTATTTCTCCCCTCTTCAAAAATACAGCCTTCCTCTTGTTTTACTGGTTTAATTCACTCTCCAGCTTCCCATCTCTTGCAATCTCGCATCACAGATGTTGAAAACCTGCCAGTTGCTCAGCTGGGTTTCAAGACCTGAATCAGAATTTCTGGCATTCTGTTCATAATTGCTGGCTGTGGTTTTCTTCTCTTTTGGCCTTCTTCGGGTCTCCATTTGAAGTGTACGGTGTGGTGTTTTGTGACGATTGCTGTATCATGCATTTTGAAGCTTCTTCGCTCCTTTCCCAATGGCGTTTTCTTTGCCTTGCATGTATCATCCATCAGCATTTCAGAATGTGGGCTGAAAAGCATATTTAGGACACTCTTATCTAACTTGAAACACTCTGGGGAGAGAAAAGTTATTTGCTCTGACTACTGCTTCTTTCTGCTAAGACAGATTTGCACCAGTCTGCTAGCCTTTCTTTTCAGGCCAGTCCTGTGTAAGAAATCCAACTTTTTATGCTCAATGCAATCAAAATCATTTTAATACCAGATGAAAATGTTCTTCTGCAGTTTTTCTTAGCCATTCTTAGAGCAAACATATTGGTTTCTTTTCCTTTATCTATTTCTATCACTTGCTGAAAGGCCTTTGGGATGAATTATAATTAGTAGAAAGTACTGGCTTTATAATCTACCATGGATAAATATAATTTTTAACATTATAGAAACATGTACTTTATCATAAAATACCCTATAGATTAAGTAGAGAAAAACTATTTCTTTTTAAAGGTCACTCAAAACAAACTCTGAAGTAGGTACCAAAATACTGTAATTCTGCACAGCTAGATGAGATCAGATTAGCAGTTTGGTTTTAATGCTTAATTTAGTAATGCCCTTTTTTTGTTCACAGCACATAATCCAATCTCCACAGAATATTTTCTCTGTAAATTAAATGATATTGAATTGTATTCCATACCATAGGGAATCATCCTTAACCAAACAAAATGCATGTAAGAGAGAGAACTCTACAGATCAGACAAAGGGATAGTTCATAAAAGTACTTTAATCAGGGGGACAAATGTGGTTTATTTCTTTGTGTTTTGGGTTTGGTTTTTTTTGAGAAAAAAGGTAATGATGAAAGTTGATAATTTTCTATCAATTTCTCATGTATATTGCAGACAAGATAAATATAGCAAAATGAAAATAGAATGATAGTGTAAATACCTATGAATTGTGCCACTGTCAAATAGGCAACAGTAGAATATTTACTATGGTAATTTATAATGTATAATTCAAGTAAGATGTTAGAGCAAACATTTGTGATGTTTGTATATATAAGCCAAAATCCAAAATCTTACTGGTTTTAGGAAATGATGTGCTAGTAGAAGCCAGAAGAATTGCTTAGGTTGATATATTGTCTCTTTTTCTGTTTCCTATAATAGACATGCTCACCAACATTCTAACCATTTGAACAGACTTGCCTCATAGTCAGATTTCTTTTCTTCTAAAATCGATATTTACAAATCACATTTTCTGCAACACTTCCCCTGAATTAGCTTATACTGCTCTACAGCTTCATGTGCTAAACAATTAGTATTAAAAATGCCTGTCTTGAAACACCAAGATGCACTTATATTGCACAGCTAAAGGTAAATAAATTCCTAATTTAAAAGAAAACCAATTGATATTTCTTTCCATAGAAGAAAATCTAGAATATTCTCAGAAACAAAGAACACTTCTGTTCGTGTTTTGCTTTCTCAGCGCTGTTCACTTTTGCCTTGTTTCCATATAGAAAATCCCCTAATTTTCAAAGGCAAGACAGTTTCATTTTTTTTTTCAGTGTGCTGGGGACTGTTTTTTACCAATGCAGGATGGATGCTGGCATGGTTCAGGAAACAAACAGACAACAACAACAACAAAACCAACCTTATAAATAGGTTTAGAAAGTCTGTATCTTCCCATTTGTTGACTTTCTCTAAAAGAAATCTTTAATCTTACCTGCCTTAGAAAGGAGAATAAGGAAGTTTTGTATTTGTATGGAATAAATTATCAGGCCAAATTTAGTAATAATGAATTTTTATTTAAAAAAAATAAACGTATACATTGTATATGCCATAGTTTCAGTGTTCAGTGCATTTTTGCTCAATACTTATTTTTTCAATGGTAAAAAAATTAGTCCACTAATATAACGTTACTAAATCTATGGTCAGATTATAATTTTCTTTCATGAAAAATATTCAAAAGATCATAGCCATTCTGCCTTTGAAATGTTATTATGGAAAGTTCCAGCCTAATTAGAGAGAGGTTTAAAATTCATATATTTAGTCAATACAGGAGAAATTGATTATGCTGTAATTTTTACTTATGTAAAAATTATGGCAGTTTCCATTGCTGAAACAGGCTGTTTTTAAGTCTGAAAAATAATAATTGCCGAGCACAGTAGCATATACATGACCTGATGTCTGATTGGAAAATCTGGAGCAGCTTAAAAAAGAAAATTGAAATAGGATTGATTAGTCTGTGAACGTTGGATTCTAAGACTGGACAACTTAATATTTTGCATAAATTGGATTATTTTTATTTTTCTGTCTGGTCTCCCACTATCCATTTTAACAGGTAGATATACTAACTTCCTTTTTTTAATGTGCTTATTATTTTTTGTTGAACTTCAAGCCTTCAGTGAAAAAGCTATACATATTGCAGTGAAGCCAAATATATGTATTTTAATGTAAACTCTGTATGTATTTAGGTGCATATGTATGTTGTGCATAAATTCGAGGATTAAATTCTGTGAGTTACAGCATCAGATGGTAGCTCTGGTAGCAAGTGTAATGTTCTGTCTCATATGCCATTTTTAAGTTGTCTTCAGTGCATCACAGTAAAATTGGGATCAGACTGTGACATGTAGTTCAGTTGTGCAAGATCTCCCATGACAGACGTCTCACCGACTGTTGAGGTGGAATGGATTTATGAGAGAGAGAAAGCTGGGAATGCACATGAAAAATTGTGTCTGAAGCTGCGTAATTTCACGTGCCTCTCTCAGAGATAATGCATTATAATTTTTACAAGGCTTTTTAATGTAGTAGCTATAGTTATGTGTATGGTTGCCATTTAAACATAGTATTTTAGTCCATTAAATCCAATTACATTTTAGGCTTCTGTACTCTCATATAAAACTAGCTGTAGAAATACATCCCTCCCCCAAGTAGCTTCAGTTTTGATGTGAAATAGTGACAAACCCGATCTCTCATTTTGAGGTTTCTTCTGTACTGACTAAAAATTGGTAGCAGAACTTCCACTTCTGCAGGTAACAGCTTTAGGCACTCCTGCAAATCAAAACGGGAGTTACGTTTGGCACAAGAGTATCTG